AGCCCAGGGCAGATCTCCCTGGACCTGGACACCAGACACTTGGGGCCACCGAGTCCAGGACAGGTCCAGTCAGGCCCGGCCACCACTGTGAGTCCCCTGTATAACTCCCGCCCTTCTTCCTCACTTTGAGGAGGGTGGAGGATGAGGTCATGAGGGAGGCTCCTCCTGGGCAGGGGCAGGTGTGGGAGGCTGGGAGCCCGGAGCCTTGGCCTGTGCCCCCAGGATGGGGCTGAGAGGAGGAGAAGGGCAGTGCCCAGTGATGATCCGCAGCCCACAGGGCCTTCTCCTGTCCTCTGGGGTAGAAGCCTGAGACAGAGCTGTTTGTGTTTCAGGAGCACAAGGTTACCTGGGGCAGAAACAGCACAAACTGTGGTCAGGCAGAGCCTTGTGCTTGCTGCTGGCTGCCAGGCACTGTCCCCACAGAGCTGCACACAGGACACTGTGTCACTTCTGTCCTGTCACGGCTTTATTCTGCCATGTCACCTCAGGGCAACTCCTGGCCAGGGCCCATGTGGTACCCACAGGAGCTAAGCGACCTGCAGAGGTGGCAGTGAGCACAGCCGGGCAGCCTCTCAGGACCAGGAAGTGGGCCTGACTTTTTCTGAGCCGTTAACAGACACGAGGGACAGGCTGGCCTCGAAGGAGGCCTGGAACCAGGCTGAGGCTCGGTTTCTCTCTCTACCACGGGACCTGAGGGTGGGTGGGCTCTTCATGCCCCAGGTCATGACCTCTCCTTGTTAATGAGCCATGAATCGGTAGCATTTCTGTGTGTCCCTTCTGAAATTACCTTCTAACATGCATCGCTTTTCTGCTGGGCCAACTTGTGCCCCTTCTGGTATGAGCCATGATGGCGACTTTCAGAGTGGTCTGGGCTTTGGCCTCCAGCCCTCCTGATGGCCCGGGTGGGCCCCAGTTCCATGTCTCCCCTCTGTTCTGTCACAGATTGGGGCCCAACAGGAGGAGAGCAGGGCAGAGGACTGCATGGTGAGGACGGCGCTGGCAGGCATGCAGCACCCGCTGAGGGAGCCCCCGGAATGGGACTTTCTGGACAGCTGCCCCATCCACGAAGACTCCCTCCTGGACCCCTCTGGGGCCTGCATTCCCACCCTGCAGGAGGGGATGGTGCGAAGGCGAGCTCTGTGGTTGGCACCCAGGGGCACTTGGCCACTGTGGCCCCAAGTCTTTGGAAGGTATGAGCCCTGCCTCAGCCTGCTCAAAACTCTGAGCAGCAGGGCGCTGAGAAAATCAGGCTCTCGGCATCACTGCGGGGCACAACTGGGGTCTCCAGGGCAGTGCTGACCCGGGCCTGCTGGATTCCCTTCCATCCCTGGCTGGCTGTGCTTTGCCCCACTGAGCCCTGCACAGGGGAAGGCTGTCTGTTCCCTGTAAAGGAGACCGCAGAGTGACTCGGCAGGCCTCTGGTCTTCCCAGAGCAGGAATCTGTGGGGATGCGAAGGGCCCAGGCCCACTGACATCAGGGAAGAGCAGGTGGGGTCCCCATTCCATGGACGCATGTGAAGACACACTGTGTGCAGACCTTTCCCAGGGCTCGGCTGTGATCGCCAGTAGCCAGAGCAGATGCAACCCCTTCCCTCTGGGGCTTCAGTGCTGTTTGGGGTCCTTGGTCACCCTGGACAGCTGAGCAAGCATTCCTCGCACTGCAGTAGATAGCACTTTCCCGGCCTCCCTAGATATGGATCCACAGCAGTGCAAGAGGAGCCCAGGAGCAGCATAGACACCGGGCAGCACAGTGCTGCAGAGTTGAAGCCTGAGGAGAGGTGGGCGGGACAGATGCCCACTGTCCCCCACGTCTCAGATCCTTACAGAGCAGTGGCCCTGTGCCCTTGAGTGTAACACGCACAGACACCAGACTCTGTCCTCATGCAGCTGACAGTGGGGACGGGTGGGGAGACAGTGTGTTGGGCTGCCCTGAACAAGGCAGAGGCAGTCCCACCACAGAGCACAGAGCCTCGTGTTAGGCTCTCGGGTCGCCTGGGCCAGCACCGCCCCACTGGGCATGGAGAGGGTGGGGCTGGAGCACGCCTAGCTGGGGCAGGAGGCCTACTTGGCCATCTCCGAATGTTCCCTTGGCAGGCAGCATGGGAGGAAAGGCCAGGCCTCTCACTCTGCCTCCTACCTGCCTTTCCAGGTCCTCTTTTTCTGTCCTCCACTTCCTGGTGGAGCTGCACTCCCAGGAGACTCCACTAGCTGAACTCTGGCCCAGCTGGAGCAAGCTGAGCCCACTGAGGCACAGCCCACAGGTTAGGAGGACGGGGTGTGGGCCTGTGGGCATGAGGGGAGGGATGGGCCTTTAGACACAGAGACAGCTTCCGGGTGCTGGGGTGACCTGGGATCACTGTAGACCTCAGCCGTCATGGTCTGGGAGGACTTCCTGGGGAGGCTTTGTGCACAGAGCTGTCTGATGGGCAGTGGGGAGGTTTTGCCCTGGGAGGGAACATGGACAGTTGGTGACTTTTTCTTCTCTTGGAACTGCAGGGCCAGCTCCAGCCCCAGCTGAAGTCTCATGTGCGGAGCCCGAGCCAGCTCCACCTGCAGCTTCCTGCCCAGTGCTGGGACCACAGCCAGAGTCTGTGGCAGCCCCTTCACCTGCTGCCGTGCTGGGGTACCTGGTGATTGCATGGCGGTCGGTGTCACCTCCTGAGCTCCGCCTGGGGCCAGCTCCTGGCCCCCTCCCACTGTTCCCCTCACTTATGCTGGCTCTTGTTTTGGTGTTTACAATTGCCCTTATTTCTTGGATTTATATAAATAATAGAACTAGCTTTTAATAAAACTTAAAATTTTAGTGTTAAAAGGGTCAGCATGGCAGCCTAAAGTGTCTTCTCCCTGTGTGCGCCCATCCCCAGAGCACTGTGCTTGGTGGCTCCTGCCCACACCCCTGGGCACTGCTTCTCTCGTGTCCCCACGGGCACCTGGCCTGCAGGGTTCACACCAGTGCAGTCGGACTTGCCTTTGGCCACACAGTCGTGAGAGGGGCTGATGAATCTTGTGCTATGCAGAAGGGGAAACCCTAGAAAGATCCTGGCCATTTTTCATTGGCTTCTTCAGTAGGTAATCCAGGTTGTGTTGCCAGACAGGATGTATTTATTACAGTAAGATAACGTGTGCAGTCTGAATGAAGGACAGGAGAAGGGCACCATCGCAGGAAACCCACTGGGCCGTGGCCTCCCCTAGGCGGCCCCTCCCTGTCTGCATCTCGGGGTTCAGGCTGTGTCTTCCCTGCTGGGAGGGGGTGCGCCACTCCTCAGCTCTCCTACCATCTCATTACGTGCGTGGGGACCTGGCCTGTCAAGCTCAACCCCACACATTCAGGGCCCCAGTGACACAGTTGGCTCAGCAGCCTCTGCCCTCCTGGTTCCAGGGTCCCCGGTGTCTGTGTCATCAATGCTGCTTTTTAGGGTGGAAGCCTGGCAGCGGAGACTCCTCATAGTCACAGGAGCGGGGCCAGAGATGGGCTCCTTCTGCGGAGTTTGCAGGGCAGAGCATGCCATCCTGGCTGAGCTTCAGGTGACCTCCTGGAAGGATGAACAGTCTTGCTCCACTGAGTACAGCTGTAGTAGAAATTCATATTTTAAAAACGTTCAATTTGAGGGAAAGCTTTATATAAGACACATAGTTTTAAAAACTGAAGTGATTACAGGGTAGCAGAAAGGCCTTGCTATTCTGTAACAATGTTACATTTAACCTTTTCCTCTTTGGAGACTCTTAATACTTTGAATCTGGGCTGCTCTGAGTAAGGTGTAGATTTCAGGAGCCAAGCTACCCATAGAAATAATAGAGGAAGTTAAGGTAGAAAAAAATAGCAAACAAAGGAGAGTATTAGTGGTGGCTGATCAGAGGATGTATACATGATCACCACTGTCATGCGACGTAAGTCTATCATAGTTGATTTCAGATTCTGCACTTAAATAACAGTAGCACTTGTTCTTCACGCTTGCTCTCTCTCACCTTCATATTTTATATGAAAGCATATAAGCTTCACCCATTTGCTGAGCAAATGTGCCAAGCATAATCCAGCTAGGCTGCCTGGCTTTGAAATTCAACTCTCCCACTTAATAGTTACATACATTTGGTCAGATGATTTACCTTTTGATCCTTAGTCTCTTTATCTATAAGCTATAGATAATAATAACACCTGCCTTTTTGTTGTATTACATAAGTTAATTAATTTAGAACTTATAATGGGCTCAGGCACACAGTGAGTGATTTGTTGATTATAGCCATTACCATTTTCTACCATGCACAGGAATGTAATGATAAATGGTCTGTGTTCTCAAGGAGCTTCCAGTCTTGCAGGTGGAGACAGACAGGTACATAGATAAAGGAAATAAAGGGTGAAATGATGAAGAATGTTTAGGCTACAGTGGAGAGGTCACAGACAAGGGAGTGGAGAATTCTTTTGGTCAACCCTTTTGAGATGGATGTAATATCAACCCAAAGTGGTTTCTTATTTCCCTGACCCTTAGGTAAGTGATCCTTCCCTATTAAATGCCTGCTTTGCCTGCTTTATTTGCCATAGTTATTCCACTGTGAATAATTATGTAAGCACAATTGAAGGCTTTTCACGAAGGGGCATTGTGGAGCCTCTTTATTTACACTTAGAACAAAAGGCCTTACCATAACTGGTGAAACTAGATTATATTTTCCTGATTTCTTATATTCAGTGTCATATTTCTTATAGAGACTAGAATTATCTGCACAAAGGGAAAATAGCCCCTTTTACATCCCTGAAGTTGGTCTTATTCCTTTTGCCAGTGACTAAGTCATGCAGATATTATTATTTTGGGCTCAGGGGGACATACCCAAGTGGAAGTAAGCTGGGGCTCTGGGAAAGGCTTTCTCAATAATATAAAACTAATGAATGGAAACAGTACTTTTCTGGCTGTTGTTGGTCTTCATGTGATGTCTAGTACTACTGCAGTCATTTTGTAATCATGAGGGGAGATATTGTTGATATCCTAATACTGGCACAATAGAAAGATAGATATAAAATATACACACACTGAAGACATTCTTGAGCTGCTGCATTTGGCAGCTGGAACCTTGATCTACCTCTAGACTTCTTGTGGGTGAAAGCAGCTCCTTAGTTGTATAAGCTGCTTTTAGACAGGTTTTCCACTTTCAATCAAATCCTTCTTGTTGTAGCCTGTGTTATTGTTCCCGAGTGTTTAGGGCACTTTCCTGCAGAAAGACTGCATGGTCTTCCTTTCAGGCCCAGGGCTGGCCATGTGACTGACTCTGGCCATGTGACTGACTCATGAAGTATGAACAGTACCTAGGGCCATTTCCAGGAAAAAGCTCTAAGAGCCAGACTTGGTTTCTCATGCACCCTTTGCTGAGATGCCACCTGGTCCCTCAGTGACTGTAATGAGCAGGGCCTTCCTGTCTCTCTCTCAGCAACTTGTAGCATGTACAAGAAATCAACATCATCATTTTAAACTTCAGAGATTCAATCTGGTCTATTGTGAGTGGTGTACCCCCAAAAAGCTGCAGTGACTAAAAACAAAGAGGCAGGCTAGAGCTTGAGATGCAGAAGCCTGCCCTGGTTGCTGGGGAACCAGCTGGGAGCAGTGCGTGTTAATGACTAAACAGTTACTGGAAGGACAGGCTCCCATCTGCCCGCCCCACGAGCTTCTGGTTGGTGAGACGAGCCTTAGCATAGCAAGTAATGTGATCTCCATCATGCTTCGAAATGTCCTCACTTCCATGCATTATTCAGAGTCAATTAATCATGACTTATTAAGTGTCTCTTAGTATCTCCGACACTCACCTCATCATTTCGTCCCACCACACTGTTTTTGGGTAATGACCTTGCTGTGCCCTCCCCTAGCAATGCACTCCACAGACACCTGCCTGGGAGGGGGGTGGGAGCAGTGGCTCAGGGACCATGGAGCTGAAGTTTTGGTGTACAAATATAATGTGGGGGTTGGAACAGGATGATGATGATGATGATGATGATGATGATAGTAGTGATGGTGATGGGCCGGGGATTTAGCTCAGTGGTTCCACTGCCTGTCACACAAGCGCAAGGTCCAGAGTTCAATCCCCGGTACCAAAAAATAAAATAAAATAAGTAGTGATGGTGATGATGGTACTGATGGTGGTGGTGGTGGTGATGGTGGCAGCAGTGGTGATGGTAATAATAGCAACTAATATTTATTCTGAAGCACTTGCTGTATACCTTGGGTCATTTTAAGCACTTTGCATATAATAAATCACCAGTCTTCACTTTATAATGCAGGATTCTTGTTATTACAGACAAGGAAACATGGCCCAAAAAGGATCTTGTCCAAGGTCATGCATCTAAAATATGGTGATGCTCTGATTCTGTCTCTGGCTCCAGAGCTGCGTTCTAACCATGATGCTTAACTCCCTGGAGTGGGAGCCATTCCTGCTGCCACGATTCCTGGAGAAGCAGCAGGCCGTTCATTTCCACCAGGCTTAAATCCCTGCACTGATGTCCTCAGCCCTAAGATAGTGCTGCTGAAGGTTCTGTCCTCTGGGAGTTGTGAAAAACGAAGCTCATGACTCATGTGAATACCCTAACTGGTCTCTGACAGCCACCCACTGGATGTCACTGGGGCTGCAGTGGGACTTAGGACAGGTGCTGTCTTGAAGGGCCACGCACAAAACAAAATGAATTTCTCCTGGAGTCTGCAGGAGGGTGCAGAAAGCAAGGCCTGGGAAAGGGTGGCTGGACAGTGCCTTCAGGGCTCTGCATGTGACATGGGAGGGGATGCTCCTGGCCACTGCAATAGCAGCAGGTAGACCATTTGGACCAATTTAAGGCCACTAGGACATTTTTCTGAGATGCCAAGGGGCATGTTGGTCTGTCTACAGGAGTGCAGAAATGAAAGCAGGAGCTTGAATCCCAATCTGCTTCAGAAAATATGTGCAAATGTATCTCAGAAAAGATAGTATTTGGGGGAAATGAAATTATCTACCTGTGCCTCCAGGCCTCTAGCCTCTGTCTCCAAAGTATATTTCAGGTCTGAACACTTCTTGCCATCCTTGCTGTGACCACTGCCAACACCTGCTTAAGGCCACCATGGTGTCTCCTCTGCTTCTATTCTTGTCCCTCCCTGCATAGGGAAGAAACAAACAAATGTTCTCTGTACTCACACTCAATATAAAAAACATCCGGCCACCAAAATCTGTGGGTTTTGTTTCATCGCACCAATAATCAATTGCTGACACCAGCTCTGGGAGTCGTACAATTTAACTCAGTCCTGACACCAACTGGAGTTAGCCTGGACCCTGCATGTGAAACGGCCCAGCCCTTCTGGGGTTCTGTAGTTTGCTAGGGCAGCTTATGGAACCCAGAAAAGCATTTTACTTACTATTGCAGATTTATTACAAAGGATATTTTAAAGGATCCAAAAGAGTAGCCCAGTGAAGAGGTACATAGGGGAAGGGGAAAGGCCCCAAGCTTAGGGCCCCTGTGGAGTTGGGGTACACCGCTGTCCTGGCATGTGTATGTGGGAGCCTCCTGGGAGCGCTGTGAAGGTCCTAGGTCAGTGATGTTTACAGTGGCTTCATCAAATAGCTGTGGCCAATTACTAACTCAGTCTCCAGCCCACCTCCTTCCCACAGGGAGAGGGGTGGGGCTGAAAGCCCGAAGCTTTCCCCGTCACCTGTTCTGTCTGGTGCCCAGTGCCCAGCCAGGAGGCCACTGAGAGTCAGCTCATCAGAGCAAAGATGCTCCTGTCTCCCTGGGGATCCCATTCAAAGGAAGTCCTGCTTCAGAACTATGGTCAAAGTGTAACTATGAGAACACAAGATGCACCTAGTACCCCCATTTCTGGGGGAGATTACAAGGAGTGGGAAGCTTTGTGCCAGGGATCAGGAGCAGAGGACAAATAATTTTTTAATTATGTCCTATGACCCCATCCATTTGCCTTATGGTAGACAGAGAGATCTTTTAAAAGATGCGTATAATTCTTGTTGTCCCTTCCCACTCTTTGAATAAACCCCCATTCTTTACCATGTATCTGGCCCAGCCTCCCTCCCAGATTTCATCTCTCACTATTCTCCCCCACTCCCCTTTCCCTACAACCATGTGCTGCTGGTCTTTGTGTTGTATGAACACACCAAGCTCCTTCCTATCTTAGGGTCTCGGCATCAGCTGCTCATCTTGCCTAGAATTCTCTCTTCCCTCATGGCCCAGGCCGAAGCTCTTTGCATAGCTGGATCTCTCCTCTGGTCTTAATCTAGATACTACCCTTTTCTAATTTCCAGGCCACCTTGTTTCCTGCCACTGTCCCCCCACCTCTACTGGGCATCTTCAATTCCATTTGCAGCCTTCATTTCACTCACACTCTCTGAGACTGTCTCGTTCACTCACTGGCTTGTTCGTGGGTTCGAAGCTGGTCTCCTCTACTGGACTCAATGAACCTTGTGGGCCTCTTCCAGATGGTCCCCAGCTGTGAGGTCATTTCTCAGTGTGTCGAGACACCATAAATTAACATAAATTAAGAAAGAAGTAATTTACATTGAATCTCCATCAGTATATAGTTCAATTTATTTATATGTCCCAGTAGAAAGTGAAAAAAGAGAAAACAATTTATTTACATTTAATTGAATTTTTTTTTACATTTAATTGAATATTGATGTATTCTTTGGATGCTGGTAAAGGAGTAGTGATATTTGAACATAATTTGGGGAGGTTAATCTACCCCTTGAAAATCTGAAATTACATATGGCCCAGAACAAATTAGTCTTGTGTAGAAAATTTTAAAACTCAGGAGCACTATTGATAGGTTCCTATTTTTAAATATTATGAAAATATAAAATTTAAGTGTCATGAAAATGAAAATGAGAAGCTATAATGTTTCTATAATAAAGAGCTTATAGTTGTAAGGGTAGAGAATATGATGGCAAAATCTAGCTGAACCATATTTTCTTCATGGATTTTTTTTTGAGACATTTTAGAGAATTTTTTTTTTTTGGTACCGGGGATCGGACTTGGGTCCTTGCACTTGCGCAGCAGGCAGCAAAACCACTGAGCTAAATCCTCAGCCCTAAGAGGATTTTTTGTACCTAATGGTACCCAGTATTACTTGGAGTCTGGTAATACATTAACCTAGAACTTGGGTATGAATTACACTCACTTATTTCTCTTATTTTTGTCTTAATTAAACATTTTTATATTTAAGGATTCTGGGATACAATCATCTTCTAGTCCACATAGGACTAAATTTATTCCTAATCACTGATGTGTAAGGGGCCCTCTCTGAGAGCGAAGTGTTAATTCTGGCTGGTTTTGAAACAAGAACCCTGGGGGCATCTCTTCTTCTTCTTTCCATTTTTAGACACCTCTGTTAGCTGCCTTACACTTGGGTGGAAGTGTTTTTAAATGAGCTTGTGAAGATTTGGAAGAGATTTTATTTTTAATATCCCAGATTGCCTCCTCCACATTGGGCTGGTTTGTTACATGTTCTCCATCTGTCTTGGAGATGGGGGAAATTCAGCAGGGGAAGTGGAAAGGGCAAATCGTTGCTTGGTTTTATAAGATGCCTGAAGACAACTTCACACTTAAGATCTAGTGCCTGGATGCCTCCATTTCTACCGTGCAAAAAGCACTGCCCAGGTGCCTGTCATCTGCTGAGCAGATGCGCGGGGCCCAGATGATCCTGCCTCCCAAAGTCAGGAGAGAGGCTGTTGCTTAGTTACTCCCTGCTAGAAAGCTTGTGGGTGCAGAACCTTTTACACAGTTCAGTTCTGAGGCTTCTTAGCACGTCAGGTGAATTTAATGAAACACAGATTGGTTCTTTTGTTATGAATTTCCTTAGAGGAGCATCTAATCAATTTACTTTCTGGCTAGAGTTGGTCTGGGATTTCTGATATTTTTCTTCAGTGTTTTGATTTCATCAACATTTAAGGAGAGAAAATCTTTTTCTATTCCTGACCCCTTCTACACTTGACTGTGAAAGCCCTTGAAATCTTACTACTCGCTGGACATTACATCCAATGTCAAGGTCCTGTTATCTTTTCTTTTTAAGCCACCAGACAATACCTGGTAAAGTTCATTTTTTCTCTCTCTCTGAAAAATCAGCGGGCTACATCGTAATTAGAGAACTTGGTGGGCTATGTGTCTGGGAGGACTGAGTGCTTTTTACTACCCTATCATTGATTAATGTTCATTTGTGTATTTATTATCTTGTAGCCTTAGAACATGAATAAGACTACAGATCTTTTATGCCACTGAATAAAATATTCTCGAAAGGGTCATCAGTCAGGAGCTATAAGGTAAATTTTTGTGTGTGTTTAATTGTAAATTATTATTATTATTACTTTGCAGTACTGGAAATTGAACCCAGGGCCTTTCACTGAACTACACCCCCTGACCCTTTTTATTTTTTATTCTAAGACAGGGTTTTGCTAAGTCACCAAGTTGCCCAGGCTGGGCTTGAACTTATGATCCTCCTGTCTCAGCTTCTTGGAGTGCTGGGATTAATACCTGGCTAATCACAAATCATTCTTTGAGCAGAATCAAATCTTCAACAAGTAAAACTCTCAGCTCCTACTTTTACGAGAACGTACAGAATTGAGGTGATGCTAATATCCTGGTTTGTTAATTTGGGATTAAGGTAATGCTAGTATCCTGGTTTGTTTACTTGGGAGGTTTGTTACTTCAGAATTATTCTAGGTAAAGCATTTTCAGTCAAAACTGAGCTGCGGGGGTAAGTGATATTTTAAAAATCCAGTGGCATTTAAAGCTGGCTTTACAGTTTGCAGGCTTGAAGCCTATAAACCTATACATTAGTGCCTATTCCTCACAATATCAAATGGTCTCCTGTCCTGTGACTCATCTTAGATGCTCATTTGCTATCAGTATCTCCTATCCTGTTACAGACCTTGCTGTCACCCAGAGCTGCCTCATCTCTGAAATCCTGAACTTTGAAATTCCACTCTGTCCCTGGCCTTGGACCCTACCACTCTCCTCAATGCTGCCCTCCCAGGCTTCAGTCTCCCATGCATCTGAGCTTCCATCTTCTCCCTGGGGCTCTGCCTTTAGTGTGCTCTCATCCTTGGAAGGATACTTTATCCCTTGACTTGCTCAACCGACAAACCTTCCATCTTGGCTGCTCCATCTGTGTTTTCTTTGGCGCTTTATATAACTGCAGAAAAATCAGACTTCTGCAGTCAGGTGCTAACTCGGGTTTTGAATTTCAAACCTCAGGTGGATGCTCAAGGTCATCAGAAATTCCTTTGAGCCATCCTAGCTGGTTCTTTGAGAATTTGCATGACCTAAGACATGTGGGACCAAAGGGTAGGATCAAATTATCTAATTCAAATACACTTAAAAGTTCATTTTTGTTTTTCTTCTTTTTATTTTTATTTTCTTTTGCAATTTTGCATAGTAAGATATAGTAGGCGCATAGTAGGTGTGTAGTAGGTCTTCATTCCCCCAGTCCTACTCCTTTAGGAGTTTTGCTTTTTGCTTTCTACCTTTTTGTATTGGTTCATCTTTTCTTAAGAACTGGATTTTTTTGTAATGTAAAAATTTTCCAGATAGATTACTTCCTGTGAAGAGTATTAAAAGGGCAATGTATTGAGTGCTTAGATCAACCCTTCCGGGGGGATCTTAAAAGCTTTATCACCTCTCAATATTATTACACTGGGGAATAGGTTTCTAACACATGAGCTTTTGGGGGACTAACCCTAACCAAGCCATAGCAGGGTTGCTAGAAGGAGTAAATGACTTAATGTGTTTTCCCTGCCAGCCTGAAATGACTGTCAACCCCTTCATTTTAAATATGAAATGTGATAAAAAATACAGTAAATGCTTAAAATATGTATTACAGTAAAAGGCACAATGCCAATTACTCTCCCTCAAATACTCCCCCTCACTTCAAATACACTCATCCCATCATTCTTGCCACTTTCTGAAGCAGTTCTGCAAGTCTTCTTTTGTGAGTGTCTTTAGTTGTGCTGTCACGGCCACCTCATTGTCCTGAATTGATTCAAAACATTTACCTTTCATGGTCATTTTGACTGTGGGGAAGAGCCAGAAGTTGTGTGGTGTGTGTGGTGCCAGATTTGAAGAGTGAGGTGGATGAGGACGCGCTGCAATGTTTTTGTGAACCTGCCTTTCCACTGGGTGTCACTGAGCAGCAGCATTCACTCTGGGTTTTTTATTGCATCTCCTAAAGACCCTTAGGAAAGAGGACTTCCTGAACTGCTTTGGAAAGTGGTAAGAATGATGGGATAAGTGTGTTTGAAGCAAGGGAGAACATGTTAAAGGGTATTAATGGCAATGTGTTTTACTGTAATGCATTTAAAAAATTTAAATATTTAGCTGCCCCTTGTACTACTTTTATCACAATCCATGCCCCAGAGGGAGGGGGCACCTCCTATGCGGGTGAACCCCTCACTTGCTGGCCTCTTCCAGGGCCTTGAGAGTAACCCCAGCAATGTGCTCATATGGTACTGGGGTCAAGATTGCAAGCAGGAGAATTTTTAATCACAACTGGTTAAGATGCCATCTGTCCCCATCTGTTTGCTTGTGTTCGGTAACAATGTGGTGACAGGGCATTTGGGGTTTGGAGACATACATACCTCCTTCAGGCTTCCTGGGTTTCTCCCTCCCATCTCAGTTACCCCTCATCATTCTGGTGTGGAAGCAGCTCCACACTCCTGCTGCCCACTGAGCCACAGGCTGTGGGACTGGGTGCAAACACATCCCAGGCAGCAGGTTACAGACCCCTGGGGCAGAGGAGAAGGTGGCTGAAAAAGTGCAGAACCGGAAGTTGATCTTTGGGACGGTCTTGAAATGGAAATGCAGGATTTGGTTCTCAGGCTCAGTGAGAACAGAATTCCTGTCCTCTTGGGCACATAGCAGATAATGCAGCATTGATCAGTTTACAGGCCTTGCTATGGGCTGGCTGTCTGTGTACCCCCAAATTGCTGTGTTGAAATCCTAAACCCCAGTGTGGGGGGATATAGGGATGAAGCCTTTGGAGGGTGATTTAGATGAGGTCACAACAGTGTCTTTATATGAGATTAGCGCCCTAATAAGAACAGATTCCTTCCCCCTCTCCTCCTCTCCCTTCCCTCCCTTTTCTCTGCCCTTCCCCTCCCCCCAGTTTGAAGAAACTTCCAGAAGCCACTTGTCTGAAACCCAGGAAGAGAGCCCTCACCAGAACTCCACGCCATCTTGGATTTCCTAGCCTCCAGTGAGAAATATCTGTTCTTCAAGCCGCCAAGTTTATGGTGTTTTATGACAGCCACCCGAGCTAAGATACACAGTATGTGCACTACACATTTTGTCTTTTTAAATGGGAATCACATGAGCTGGCCTTAACGCCTGCAGAAACCTGGATCGGCACTAAAATAGCGAGATGGGCTGTGTGTGGAGCTGCAAGCCCAATGCCCCTCAACTGTCAACATTCAAAAACAACTTCCAAGCAATCACACTGGAGAAACATTGGCTTATCCATCCCAGCTCTCTTCAGAAAATATTACAAAATCATTGTTTAGGAGTGAAGAATACAGTCAAAAGCACAAGGAAAAGAAATGTTAGTTGATTCAAAGATATCTGTGTCTCATTTTCTGACTTTTAGAAGGTTTATAGTATTTATCTGCTTTTAAAAAGCTGATAATTTGTAAGATTTCTTTTCTCATTCTAAATAAACATTCACATTAGTTTGGGTTTGGTACATTTTGGGCTCTTTTTCTTAAGCAGGCCTGAGTTCCAGCAGCAGGCACAGTGAGGCTGCTTGCATCCGGAGCGAGCAGGAATGCGGTAAGGCCTTGTGCCCAAGCCCTGCCCTCCCCGGCCTCTGGGAGACTCGCTCCCTACTCGAGCCTGGGCCCTTGCTTCTCAGAGCTCCAGCCACAGGCACCAACCCCACCCTTCCTCCATTCTCCGTTCTGCCATCCAGCTCCCCGCCACCTCTGTTTCCCAGGTGTCCTCTTCTCCGCTCCTCCACTCTCCTGCCATTGGAAGTCCTGTCTTTTCTTGGTACTGGGGATTGGACCCAGTGACTTCACACTGAGCTCTACCTCCAGCCCCCTTCTGTTTTCTTATTTTGAGACAGGGTCTCCCTAGGTCTCTGAGTTCCACAGGCCAAGCTGGACCTTGTGAGCCTCCCGCCTCGGCCTCCAAGAGTGCTGGGATCACAGGGGTGCGCCACTGTGCCCAGCGCTCTTTTCTTTTGAACAAATATTGGTATCCCCCCTCCCCTTCTTTCTTGGACAGGGTGATAGGGTCTTGCTATGTTGCCCAGGCTACTCCCAAACTCCTGGACTCACACAGTCCTCCTGCCTCAGCCTCCCGACTAGCTGGGACTACAAGAGTGTGCTATGGTGCCCGCCCATTATACTTCTTGAAGGAGCAGCAGCCCACACTCCTGGCCTCTACTTTCTTGCTTCCAGTTATTTGACTCAGCTCCCTGGGGTGTGTGTTGTCATGCCCGGGGACCTGTCCTCTGGAGTCGCTCCTGCCTGGCCCCACGGCCTCCCCGTGCATCAGACCATGCTGACGTTGACATCACTCTCTTGCTTCTCTTGCCTTGTCTCTGAGCCCTGGGCTGTGGGCCTTTTGTCCTCCACCGCTCCCTGGAAACTTCCCCTTCCTCAGGCTTCTCCTGGAGATGTGTGCTTATTTTCTAACGAGTCCTTTAGCTGACTCTGAAATGCGCTTTCTGTTCCTGAGGTCGATCCTGCTGGAGCTGGTGGCTGGATCCCCGCCGCTTCCCCCAGAAGCTCCAGGGCTCACCCTCTGGGCGTGGGAGACTCACCACCTTCATCCTGCTCCTCACCTCTGAGCTCCTCACCATGGATCTGTCGCCCTCCGTCACTGGTCGCTTAGCCAGGGCTGTTAGAGCCTCCTGGCTTTCCTCTCCCCAACCCCTCATCTCCAATTATTACCAAGCGTAACTTATTTGACCTTGAAGTCAGGTGCTCCTCACTTTATCTCACATCTACCTCCCACCAGCTCCCGGCACGGGCCCGGCAGTGTCACTCGCGCCTGAGGGTCTCGGGGGCCTCAGCTCTGAGTGGAGCAGTACGCCCGGCGGGGCTGAGAGGAGGAAGTGTGTGAAACGTTCAGAGCACAGCCATGGTGGGTAGAAAAGCTCCCTAGAGAGGGACCTTGCCGTCTTCTGTGCCTCTGAAGTCCGCTTGGCTAACTTGCCCTTTAAACTGCAGGCAGAACCTTCTCTGACCTGCAGAGGGCGCTTCCACTGGGCTCCCTCACTGCCCACTCTGGCGCCATCTGTCTTTCTCTTTGTGACCTGGAAGCCGCCTAGAGCCCACCAGGGCTGGCGTTCAGCCTCTCTATAGCCATCCATCCAGGCTCCTGGGGCCAGACGGTTTGCTTTGCAGAGTGACTTACAGTCAGCAGGGTCTCACTCCTCGGAGCTTTGGAGGCTGGGAGTCCAGGATCCAGGCTCTTGGAGACAGTGTCAGGTTAGGGACCCTTCTCCTAGATGGCACCTTTTCTCCAGGGTCTCACAGGAGGCTCTAACCCACTTCAGAGGGCACGCACCACCTCCCAGCAGCCTCACCTCCTGACACGTCACCTTCACTGGGGGAAGGAAGTCAGCGTAACAAGGGGGGGCAGGAAGCACCAACACTCAGACTACACAGAGAGGCTTAGTAGAAAGACCTGGATCAAAGGACAAAAATGTTAAGAAAAAGAAAGAGCCGTCAGCTCTCTCCCGCTGGCCTGGCAATCAGCTTTCAAAGTATTGCATAACTCATGGACCTATTTCACTGCTTTTCCTTTTTGTATTGAGACTTCCCGGGCAAATCTTGGGCCTGAGAGCATCGTGCTTCTGAAACAGAAAAGGTGTGTGTGTGTGTGTGTGTGTGCGCGCGCGTGTGCATGTTTGTGAGAGTGTGTGTGAGTGAGCGTGCAGGATGCTGGGCCGAGGAAGGAAGTCCACAGCCTGCTCCTAAGCAGGAAATGAATATCCAGGAGCACTGTGGAGACTTCAGATTCTTTTAGCTATGGGTAATGCAACAGAAGGAGTGAGAGCGTAAGCATATTTTTAAGAACAGAGGAGAAAACCCACCCGCTGTGTCCAGTCCTGGGAGAGACCTACTCAGTATAGCCATGCTGATTGGCTAGCGCTGTCCTCTTTCATCTCTTTTTTACACTCCAAAATTTTTTAAAAATCCATTTCTTGATTACAGATGAAGTGACACAAAAGCAGACAGTAAAAAGCAAAACCGAGTCACACCCCAGTCTACTCCCCATAGATAACCTCTGTCTCAGGGCAATTTAAAAATACACATGAGGAGGTTTGAAGTCACACATCCAGGACGGAGCCCACTATGCTAAACAATCAGAAGTGTAAAAGATGCCTAGGTTTGCCTAAGGCAGGGATGATGAACCTCGTAGAGCTTTCAGTGATAACAAACAGCCCGCTGTAGCACAGGTGCCCTAGGTTCACCGCCACCATTGGTCTGGAGGGTCAAACTGGATGGGAATGCTACAATAAATATGCATTTCCCTTAGAGTGGGAGAAAGAAAGCATCTAAAATAGACCTGCTAGGAGGAGCCACTTTTATCAGAGAGGGCTTGTGGGCTTTGGGTGGCATCGGAGTGTGATGCTGGGCTGAACTTTCTCACTGGTCACTCAACAGATCAGTGCCAGGTAAAATGTCCCACACCAATAGCAGCAACTGAGGGCTCCGTATTTAAGGGTGCTCAGTGCCAAGAAGTTGCTTTTCCCAGGGCCCTGGATTGGTTTAAAAATGCCAGAGCCGAGCCAGGGGTGCTGTGGCACACCTGCGATCCCAGCACTCTGGGAGGCTGAGTCAGGAAGATCAAAAGTTTGGGGCAGGCCTAAGCAACTTAGTAACTTAGTGAGACCCGATCTCAAATTCAAAAATTTAAAAGGCAGGGGATGTAGCTCACTGGTTAAACCCCAGTAAGGGGGATAGAAGGAAAAAATAAAGCTACAGAGGTGAAAGGAAGGTGGACAAAGCTCTGGATCTCCACCTACTCACACTTCTCCCACATTGTCTTCAAACAGAGGAGCTCCATTTCCCCGTGTGGTGCTCTGCATAGTTTTATTTTTTAAAAATTTCACTATTAAAACTTTAACTACTTTCCTTACAAAAAAGACAGGAAAGATAAGAGGCAATCCCAGCACTTTGGGAGACTGAGGCAGGAGGATGTCCATGCCAAACCCAAAGTGGGCAACTTAGTTTGCAACTTATTTAAAGACCCTGTCTGAAAATAAAAAACATAAGGAGGGCTGGAGACCAAGTTCAGGGGGAAGGTCCTCGGGTCACCCCTGTCGCAGGGCTGGGCTCCGTGGGATGTGCAGAGAGCTGAGCAAGCGGGCCCGGCCACCTCCCTCTCTCGGAAGCCGTCATCACCCTCCAGCTAGTCCAGGCCAAGAAAGACCAGGGAGGGAAGCACCTGTAGGCGGGGCCTTCGGAGGGCAGCAGCAGCTGTGCCAGGGGAAAGTCCAGAGCGGCCGGGCTCCAGGATGGGGCCTAAAAATAAAACAGCCCGACAGCCGCACAAAGGGTCTCTTGAGGGGGGGGAAGCAGGTGCAGCCAGAGGGGCCTTCCCGGCTGCCGTGGGCCGGGGGAGGGGGAGCCCAGCCCAGGCTCTCCCGCCTGCCCCGGGTCGCCCCCCCGCAGCCTTTGGAGCGCAGCGGCCTGGATTCGCTGTGGGACCTCTCTGGGAACCAACACCTCCCGTCTGGTCTTCGGAGGTGGGGATCGCTGTGCCCGGCCAGCAGGAAAGTGGTCTGCAGATAGGCAGGGCTGAAATGAACTTTAGAAGAGGGGGTGCCCCGGGGTCCCCCCCCCCCACTTTCTAAAGGGGGCCGCGGAAACCGCCTGTCTAGCAATGCTGTCCGCCACCATCCTGAGAGGATTCGCCACGGACGCGGCCCTGTGACCTCGCTCTCCGTGCCTTCCGCCTGGCCCGTCAGAAAGGTTTCTCAGCTTGAAAACGATCAGATTCCTCCGCGGATTGCAAAAGAAAATCACCCATGCAGAAATCGGAGACCTCGGGGAAGTCAGGAAACTAAGCACAATTAAGAGGAGCAGAAAACATAGGCTGCCAGAGTGAATTCTTCTAATATTTAATTTTGAAGGCTTGAAAAAGATACACATGATTTTAAACAGCTCGGGCGTCTCGATTTGCAGACGGAAACTTCCTAGCTCCTAGTTGGGCACCATTGTTTAGGCTCCCTGCCGGCTCCCTGCTGCCCCCGAGTGTCCTATCTGAGTATCACAGGTCTTAACTTCATTTTCGGGCCCCCTGCTTTAGCTAGGGTGAAACAATGATGCTGAGTTGAGCAGTGTTTTAGCTTGTTAAGGAGAGCTGTATAATCCAGGACAACTTTCAACAAGTCTTTCACTTTAGAATTCCTCATTATATTACTTTTTTGAGGCCCTCAATTCATTGTGCATTTGCTGAAGGGACAATGTAATCCTTGGGAGTAGTTTTGATTATACTTGTGGAGTAAGTCCTCATGGTATCCCCTTCCTAAGAAACCACATGACTATTCGTGGATAAGCCTTAGATTTTAGTTTACGGCACTCAATAAAAGCCCTATATTTAGGATGATTGAAAGTTTGCACAAAGAGTCTGCGATGCGAGATAGTTTCTGACACATGGCTCAAGATAATTTTCATCAAAACACAACCTCCCTGAGCAGGTATTTAGCTCAGTGGTTCTGCTGCCTCAAGCGCAAGGTCCTGAGTTTGATTCCCGGTACCAAAATAAACAAAACAAAACAAAAACCCCACAACCTCCCTGGTACCTTTGTCTTTGCTGAACAGACTGGATCACTGTCTTCATGGAAATGAGGTGCCTATTAGTGCTAGATTTTTTTTCTGTTTCTTGCTCACCACTTCTTTATATGTTGCTTCTTCATTCACAGAAACTGGGAGCCACACAGGATGCCACGATGCCCTAGCTGGAATACGGACAGCGCCTTCCACCCTGACAAGATCAAGGGGCCTGCTTTTTTTGGTTTTGTTTTGTTCAGGAGATCGGACTTAGGACCTTGTGCTTGCAAGGCAGGTATGGTGCCACTGAGCTAAATCCCCAGGCCTAAGGGGCCTGCTCTCTTATGCAGAAAGGATGCAGGAGTCTGCTCGTCAGCATTACCTGGCTGAAGCAAAGGGCTGCTTCATCCCAGAATCTTCTCATCCTGCAGTGGCTGTTCCCAGAGCCATGGGCTGCAGCCTGAGAGCTGCTCTGCAGGTCTTACTGATCCCTCACCCTTCCACCCAGAGAAGCAGAGGAGGCTTAGGCTTTGGGTCCCACCAAAGCCACCGGGAAGTCTGGTTATAGTCAGTGCCCACCTGGGCCCTGGGGAAGATGGTGAAGACCAGCTCTATCGTGCCAGGAGGAAAGGTGGGTGATGGGATATAAACGGGGAACATGTCAGCGCCCGTGGGCCATGTAGACTGCTCTGAGCAAAGCTGCCCTGTGTTACAGGCGACAGTCCAGGCTCAGCACAGCCATAGCCTTTTAACCTGAGAGCCAGGGCTCCCGAATTTCTTCCTAGGAGGAGCTGTGGGGTAATTACGAGATGAGATGGCAGGGCTGGAGGAAATGTCTTCAGATGGGTGTGCACTTGAGTACACTGCTTTTAATTGTGTTTATTTGAGGTGGGTTTGGGGGTCGTGGGTAGACCTGTCCAATGGAAGCGCCATTGAAGAGCCATAGTAAGTCCTTGGTTGTTGAAATAGGCGCATTCTCAGGATAGCAGCCTGGTGTGCAGTTTCATTAGGCCGGGAGGAAGTCTCTTCTACAAAGCTGGGCACCTTAGTTCATAGTCCTGGAAGTCTGCGGGTGGGAGCTGGTGCCCCCTAGTGTTCAGGAGTGGCAGCTCCGCTTTGAAGGGCCCTTGCTCTTAAGTGTCAGGACGGAAGCCGCCCGGAGCCCAAGCCCACTCTGAGCCCTATGCCTTCGCCTTTGCTGCTGGTTCACTGCTGGGCTGGGTCTCCTTGTCGCCATCACCCGGCGGGGACCCTGCAGCTTAGACAGTGGCTGTTTCTGCAGAGGTGGGGAGAAATTTGGCACACGTCTGTAATCCCAGCACTTGGGAGGCTGAGGCAGGAGGATTACTGGGAGTTTGAGGCCAGCCTGGGATACAACAGTGAGCTCAAGGACATCTTGAGCTACAGAGCAAGATCCTGTCTCAAAAAAACCAAACCAAAACAAGAAGTTTGACAGGTAGCCAGGGCTAATATGGCCTGCTACAGGGTCAGCGACACAGTCCTGCTGTTTTATTGTTTGGTCTTTCGCAACATTCATTGTCGGAGACATCTTGGTACGAGATAGCTGCTGGAGGAGTAGCCTTTATATGAGCATCCTGAACAGCAGGAAGAGGGAAGGAAAGTATCTTCTGAGAAATCTCCTACATCACTTCTTTTATGCCTTATGGCCACAGCTATTTGTAAGGGAAAGGTAAAGTGACCAGCCCAGTGGGGTGGCACTCTGGGAGGCTCAGGCAGAAAGATCGAAGTTTGGTCTTAGCCTAGGCAACTTAGCAAGACCTGGTCTGAAAAGTAAAAAAGGGATTG